ATGCTCAAGTTTCACATCTTGTCTTTCTTCATGTCCATTTATTACTATTCCATCTATAGTATGACGGAACTTCAGGGTAAAGGAGGGTGCGAACAAAATCATCAAACAAAGTTTAAAAAAGGCTGTCAATGTCATGTCTCTTTGTTCGCGGGTCATCTGAACTGCATTTTCATTGCTGAAGTAAACATGCTTGAGCCTTTTGACCCAGGATTAGCTTATTCTGAATCTCCTTACATGTAGGGTTCCAAGTAAATGGTATGAAGAGATCTGGCCTACGATAATGCCTTACATATGTCATCGCATCCTGAGTTCGCTCATGCATATATCGAGGACAACCAGTGAAAGTAGTCGGTAACATGCAGACTTTACCAATGTTTTCGGGATCTACATCATTGTTAATACCATCTCGTAGATGAATGTAACTATCTGAGTGCAGTTTTTCTGATTCAATCTGAAGTACAGCAACCTCTCAGACTCCATTTTAACACACATGTCAACTGCAAATTTGTGAAATGGGTACTGCAGCGCATCATAAGATCGGTGGGTTTCATTGATATGCTGCAGTTTGGTATCACATGATGAAAGAACTATATCTCTAGTATTATTGTGTTGGTGACCATGAATAATAGCAGCAATTTCATTGCAAACAAGTGAATTATAACGTTCCCCACGTTCAAAACCTGGTCTTTGGTCAGCGTTGATGATGACATAAAAATTTGGTGTGTCCGCTGTTTCTAAAGTGTATTTGAACTCTCGCACATAATTGTTCCTGGTGTGTAGCATTTCCTGAAGCTCAAGAATGATATCCATTTCAGTTCCAGGTGAAAATAGAGTTCTGCCTAGTTGCCTGTTCCTTATAGTTACTTACAAAGTAAAGCTGAAGAAATTGTGGCTCCTTGTTTACCATAGGTTGCATAGAGCCAATTCTATGATATACTTGTTCTTGTACTTTAAAAGTAGGCATAAATCCATCCTCTTTAATAATATTGGCTCCATAAGAGGTCATCTGAAAAGCACAATTATACTTTATAATATTGCGTAGGCAATGATTAGATCTAACAGTGGTACCAGTTAATAGAATTTTCAATAGCTGGGGTGGATCTTCAATGATAGTTAATGCGGAAGTACCATTTGAGCAGCACATGCTATTAATTTCCTCTACCAACCTTTTAGCTCTGTAGTGCGAACAGATAATCAGCATATTGCCAATCTGAACATCAGGGTGGTTCGAATAATTAGAATGAGGGTCATAATAGAATGCTACCATTGACCATATTTGACTACGGGGTCTTGAAATCACTGTTGAGCAGCCAATCTTTGCACATTATTTTCCAAATGATCATGGCAATCCTCAACAGCCTCCATTACCCATGCAGAAGCTGTTCTAGAGGCATTCCTGCACTGTTGTCTTGTACGCTGCTCTTGAGTCTCCAAATCTCTTGCTGTTGCAGTTGCTGAAGCATTTCTAGACAATCTTTGTGAATGTTGATCCTCATTCTCCGCACGTCGGGTAGCAGCAGTAGTTGCTGAATTTTGTATCTGCCTAGCTATACGCTGTTGCTCACTCTCAGAATTTCAAGCAGCAGCATTTCTAGTAGCATGTATATCGAATTGTTCTTTGCTCCTCAGTTTCGACAGCTCGAGTGGCAGCAGTTCTAGTAGCATTTTTTACATGTTGAATTGTTCTTTGCTCGTCAGTTTTGACAGCTCGAGTAGCAGAGTTCTGGCAGCATTCCTTCCTCGTTTAGTTAACCATTGCTCATTAGTTTCTGCTGACCTTGCATTAGCTGTACGAATAGCATTTTGTGTCAATCTAATTTGAGTTTCTTGTTGTGAAGCGTTTCTTCTCTGTGCTGTAGTAGTAGCATGTCCAAGTGAAGGATTTCGCTTTCTTGGCATTATTGTCAGGCTGTAGTTAGAGAGGTTTGCCTAAGCTTTTTGAATAACAATGAAGTAATCAATTAAAAAGCAAGAATATTATACACATTAATGGAAATATAGCCACAATAAATTAAATGCAAGTTTATAAGGGAGACCACGGGAACATGGTAAACAATTATAAGCAAGCTTGTAAAATTAGGATTTATCTAAAAATAGACTACCAAAAAAACGTTCTAGTTATAAAAATAAAATTAATGTGCAGCTAGAAACCTACTCACTATTAAAACATACACGCTAAGTTTAGCATAATTATAAATGAATTGAAAGAAGGTCTTTACATTATTATAAATGCAGTTTTCAGAATAAACTGTCAAAATTTTAGAGCTCAAGTTTCCAAATATATGAGTTAGTAAGCATTATTTAAATGCTGATTAGAAAATGATAAATATGTAATTAAAAATTGTCATTTACGCTTGAACTTTTTTAATAATATGATTTTCACAAAGTTAAATTTAAAGTATCAAAAATTCAAAATATACATGCATGAAGGCAGCCTACCTTTTTACTGGATGACAACTTTGATGCGAATAAGATTTTTTGCATTTATTTCATCACATAACACTAATGAACACTACACTTGAAGCACTACATAACTCGTGGAGCAAAATCAATTGTACACACTACACATCTCAATCGATCTCACACACACGTCTTATACCTACGTGCACTTCTCTCATCGGTGCACACTTACGTTTGCAGTTTTGATTTTGAGTTGATTGATCTAAAAACAAATTATGTGCAAATTTTCATCGGAATGCTGCTAACCACTACAATTGAAAGACTAATGGAGCAGCAAGGTGTTCATGGGTCATCTTGGAGGCCCCTTATGTAGTTTTCAAAATCTGATAATCATTTTTGATTCATTTTAAGATTGTAACACACATGTAAAATTCTGTCGAAATCAAAGCAATTTGAAAATTTGGAGGTCCCTTTGGTTCATCTGAGGAGTCCCAAATTTCAAGCCAAAGGATAGGTTTAAGACTAATAGTAATTGAAATAATAAAGCACATCTTTAAGTTTTCTATTTAATTGACTTTATGGCCAAGGCTGTAGACTTAATTGAAAATTTAGGGGTTCCCCTAAGTCGTGGGGGTCTCAGTGTCAATTTTCAGTGAATTCCAAGTGACTACTTCAGTTATTCGATATAATCTCAATATGTACTGAAATTTTCATTGAAATTGGGGAATGCTGCTAGAAAATACACTTGAAAAGCAATTGAGGCATCAAGGGGTTTATGGGGTCATCCTGGGGCCCCGACAAGCATTTCTAAAAATCTGACAACCAATTTCTATCTCATTGTAAGAGTCTAACAAACATGCAAAATTTCATCAAAATCGAAGCAATTTGAATTTTTTGGGATCCGTTTGGAGTACCCTGGGGGTCTCAGTGTCGAGAGAAATGAAAATCAATATAGCGTATAATAAGCATGACAGTTAGTTGCATACACTTCAATAAATAGAACGTCATATTTGGCTACATATGACAATACATTTGTCACTGCCATATTCTCTACAATTGTCAATGATGCCATGTCTATGTGCTCTTTATCATGACATGAAAAAGTAACTCACCCACCTTAACCCTCTGACCTTATTGTATTTTAGCATAGATCTGATATTTATTTGGTTAATCAAGACATATCCACAAGTATATTTTTAATTCTTACCTTATGCCCCCACCTTTAACTTTCAGAAAAGAGGTAATGATTTGTTTTTAAATTTCCATGAAAATCATTTTATCACCAGTTACTAATCATCGCCTGAGGAAATTCAATCATAGTATTGAAACATGAAAGCTTTTGTGTAGCGATTTAAAATGTTTTTATTATAATCTCTTATATATATATATATATATATATATATATAAGCTTAAAAGTGACATTTAAGCTAGCTCCTGCAGAGGGATCTTGATTGGGCCTTCATTTTGTTCAGGAGTTTGAAAATCCCTAAGTCTTTGCATATTCTCAACATTGGAAGCTCTCCAGGCTGCCATTCGATCTGGGTTTTCATTTGCATGGGACTTTCTTTTTCTCACTGCAGTCTTGGCTCTTTTTATTGTAGTCTGGTCCTCGGTAGAGATGTCTTTTTGTGAGGCATACTGGTGCCGTATGCAAAAGGTAACAGTAAACCATAGAAGAACTCAAAATTTTTCGCTGCATTTAAGTTTTGCATTAATATTTGAGCTTACCTTTTTAAAAGTTCAACAATAATTCTTTTGACGCCACTTAATTTAAAGACAGTTTGATGTGCATAGGTCCTAACTTTCTCTACAAACAATTATTTTTATTTCATGGGTGACTTTCACTGGATTTCGCAATTAATTTTGATTATTCCCAAAATTATTTCCAAGTTACAAAAAAAATTGACGCAAGAAATCATATAAAACGATTGCCAGAAACAATCGCAGTAATGAAAATTGGGAATCCAAAATTTCTGTAACATGAGCAATTGAAAGTTAGAGAGTTCTATCCCTTTAATTGAAAATTGTGTCACATTGACACACTGACATTTACATTTATATATATATAAAAGTGAACATAGAAGTCAACACTTAGAGGCAACAGTCTGTTTCATGCTATATGAAACAGACTGTCTGCCTCTAGTGTTGACTTTATATGTTCACTTTAGATTATATATATATATATATATATATATATATATATATATATATATATAGAATATATGAAAACCATGCTTATATTTTTTTTTATATCCTTGCTCATTTGACATCTAACTGATTTTTAACTTTGTTCATGTAAAACATTTATCATACAAATACACACGCGCACACACACACACACACACAAAGAGGTGTGTTGAAAAGTTATTGGCCTAAGAAACTGTGGGGAAAATTGTGAAAATGGCCTACCTCGGAAACGCCTGCGAATCTGTGCGGTGTGCAAAACTCCAGTTCTCCAGCGGTAAAGGAACAAAATGGTGGTATCTTTTATGCAGGCGGTCTTGGTTATTAACGCGAAATCTCGTTGTCTCGTCATTCGCATGCAAATCGTGGTCGGTCCTCGGTTGTATAAAGCAAATGCGTTTGCTGTTTCGATCAGCAGGCTTTTTGGCTCGTGAGAAGGTTGGACGTGCGACAATTGGGGTTTTTTGTTACCCTCCCTAAATATTTTAGTCATATTTTGGAAAGTGGGTCAGGCTCTATATTTTCAGTATGTCAAGATAATCTTTTATTTTGCATAGCTATTTTTAAGAGGATAAGTATTCTTAGTTATTTTGTTAAGGCCATATTAAGATATTAAAATTTGTCTTTCTTGGGAAGTTAAATTACTATTTATCTGTTAAGGTCCAGAATGATATTTAATCATTGTAATAATGATGTTGTCATCAGTGATGATAAAAACGATATTTCATTATCCTACACTCATCATTGTAAAAATGACCCTTCCAGATCAAGAGAATCAGTAGAATAGTGTAGACTTGGGTACATAGCAGTGGTCAGTAGTAGAATAGACAAGAAGCAGTACAGAAACACATGTCTGTCAGCACTCTGGGAAGATTGAAAGCAGATAATTTCAATCGCATCCTCATAAACAAAATTCTCGGAACCAAACCAAGTAAGCACTGACTTTTAAACAAAAGAGACACTGAGCACATTCTTACACACACCATGTCAATATCCTGTAATTCACATTATAAAAAGAAAATACAAATTCTTGCTATTTATGTCAACACATGTCTCAACTTTTTATTGTTGTTATCATTGTATGTTTATGCATTTTAATTTCTGTCATTATCAACCCCATTACAGCCAACAAATAAGTAGGGGGGATAATACATCAACACCCAACAGCATTACCTACCCACCCCCCATTAACTTTTTTTTTATTCATAGCTATTTTTTTGACCACATATAATTATTTTTTCTTTATACAGTTTTTATAACTTACACTTTTTTCTTTGTCTTGATTAGGTTCAGATTAAGTTGTTTTATTTATTACCTAGCTAATCAAAATGGTTTGTTCTTCCCAATTTTAATAAAGATATTTAAGTGAGTCTTATTTTCATTTCTCATTTTTATGGAGCTTTTGATGTTAATTATAAGTTATTTATTTGAGTTTTCTCCCCGCCCCTAAATTGGATTGTCTGATTTAAAAGTTTTTCAGTTTAGGTTAATTTCACAATCCTTTTCAGTAATTTTTTTGTCCTTGTCTGTCTATCAGCTATTTATAGTAACTTTTTATTTTTTAATTGTTTCTTCTGTTACTTATTAGCTGTTTTTTTTTTATTTTGTAGATTCTTAATATCTCCCATGCATACAATTAATATGATTTCTCAACCTACTGTAAAATTAATATGCACTTTTAAGGCTATGTCAAGCAAATTAGTTGTAGTGACAGTGAAGAGGTATTTTTTTGTATATTTAGGTTCTATATATTTTTGCTACTTTCTAAAAAGATATATATTTGAAGGTTTTTTTTTTTTTCTAATTTTAATTTTTTTATTAAATGTTAGGTTTACTTTATAGTAATTTGTTTTTTCTTTTGAAAGGTGACTTTCTTTTTTTTTTCCATGGAGTGTTCTTCATAATTTGCTTTGTTAGAAGGTTGAATTGTTTTTCTCTACCAAATGAGCATCCTCATTTGTTTCTTTCAAACAAGTGTAAATCCTATAAGGCTCTTTTGTTTGACTGTTTTTTTTTGGGGAAAGATTGTTTTGAATTTATTCTATTTTGAGAAGTTTTTGATATAATTTAATTTTTTATATAGATTAAATCTACCCATATGTGCCAATTTTTTTGTTTTTTAACAGTTATAATCTGAAATTTAATTTACTTTTATATAATATGGAATTATACTTTCAGAGTGTCTTTTTGGTCAAGCTCCTTTTGCATCCAAAAGTTTTCAAGAATTGGAAGAAAAAATCATTGACTCTAAGCCAATAGAGGTAAGTTTAGATTCAAACCAAAATTAGTTAAGTGCTTAGTTCTGTATATTTTGTAAATGAAACTTGTCATAGCCAATGCCCTTCTTCAGTATTCAATAGAACAGATACAAAATTCAGACCAGTTTTCATTAATAAATGGAGTTCAATTTATTCAGACACAAGGAAAAGCAAAAAAGAAAAATGGAGAAAAGGAAAAAGTTTTAATATAAAAAGTGAGAAAAAAAAACGGGAAAGAAAGACAAAAATTTCAATATAAGGCTTTCTGGGGGAAAAAGAGAGATAGACATGGGGAGGGGAGAGGGAGAGAGAGAAAGAAAGAAAAGAAAGTTGACAGGGTTACTGTAATAGGAGTGACAGTGACTTACCAGGAGCAAAGCGAATTCGTTGCCTCGATGTATCGAACCATTCTTTGAGAGTCGGGCGCGTCGGCGCTTACTGCCATTTTTATGCAGCAGACTTATTTGCATAAGAGAACCATGCTACTGATTAAAACCCGGCGAGTGGACGTGGGAGGCCACAGCTTTTCTAGGCTCGGTGAGACTAGGACGGATTGCAGACAGAAAGCGAAAGCAATTTCTGGACATCGACAAAGCTATTTCCGCCGAACATGGACGGCCGGTTTGATTTAAAAATAATTCCGAGTTTGACGGGACTGGATCTGTGGTTGAACGGCTCGAGAAATTGGAATTGGTGTCGACCTATCGGGGAGTGAAGTGGCTTGATCGTGTCATCCTCTTCGCTTAACCAGGGAGCATTTGCGGTTTACCACAACTATCTACGGAAGAGAAATCGACGTGGCTTGAATCAAGGCGCATTGATGACAGCATTTGCCCCTGATAAATTCACGGCATCTGAACAACCGAGGCCGATATATTGCGTCCGGGTGAGACCCGTAGATGTATATTTGGCTGATTCACGAAGCTCTCCGTCCTTTTGGAGGAGTGCCAGACAGTGCGATGACATGCATGTTCGTGCGGGGGCTTCCTGATCCTGTGAAAAAGGCTCCTGCGGTCCTCGGCCAGGGCGGATGATATGTCTCTCGAGGAGCTATTGGTCCGAGCTCGGGCAATCATAAAGGACCCAGACAGGAACCAGTCGTCACTGCGGTGCAGCCCTCCCAGACTCCCCGTTCTTCCCCAGAATGGGCCCACTTGTCACATGCTATGAATGTAATGGGCCCAATCACCAGGGACTGCATGAAGAGGCGAAGGGCAACTAACGCACGTTGCTATCGATGCAACAAGACCGGTCATCTGGCCAAAAATTGTCCGGGGAACGGAGGCGGGGCGAGACTTCAGCGCGGTCCCTCTTCAAACAGCAAGTAAACTTGGTGCTACCCATCATTACTGTGTGTGTTGACGGCACACCATGCTCGGCTCTCCCTTGACTCTGTGTGCTCATGGTCAATCTTGGCTGAAGTTTATGTCGGTCTTGGTAAAGGAAGCAGGGTATGGCGGTATCTACATTAACTGGAGCCACGCAGGCTTGCTGTGGAAGGGGCACCGTCAGAATTTGCACAGCAACTGGTAATACTGCTACAATCGATGTGCTGGTTATGCGAGGGAAGCCCCTGGATTTCGACCTGTTGCTTGGCATCGGCGCCATTAAGGCACTCGGAGTTCGCATCACGAAAAGCATGGGCGTGGAGTTTGAAAACCCACGGTCCGTCTGTGCAGCGATTCGTATCAGCGAAAGCCGATTTCAGTCGCGAAATTCAATGAGCGGCAGGGGAGGTTTGGTCGCTGCCTGGAAGTGGTTGGCAGGTCATGCAGGAAACTTCAGAATGGGATCTCTGAGTATCCAGTATCCACCGAGATGAGAGAGGATGCGAGCATGAATTACAAACATGGATGGACAATGGTTGGTTGGTGCCATACAGTAACAAGGAGTTTGGCCCGCCTAAGGGACTGATACCACTGATGGCGTGCTGCAGACCAACAAGCATAAGGTGCGCCCCTGATGATGGACTATGGGGAACTAAATACCTACGTTGAAACATTCACAGGTGCGCGGATGTTTGGCGCAGAAAAACTGCGAGACTGGAGACAGCAGGGTGCGAACGTGTCCATTCTGGACCTCAGGAAAGCATATCTACAGATCCGTGTTGAAAAATCCCTGTGGCCATATCAAACAGTTGTGTTTAAAGGGAAGCGATATTGTTTGACCAGGCTGGGGTTCGGCCTGAATGTGGCGCCCCTGATAATGCGAGCTGTGCTTAATGCTGTGTTAGCACAGAATGAAACTATAAATAGAGCAACGTCTGCATATATTGATGATATATATATCAACGAGGATGTGGAGTCGGCGGAATCTGTGAGGAAACATCTCGAGCTCTACGGACTGACGAGCAAGGATCCTGAGAAGTTACAGGACAGAGCCAGAGTGCTGGGGCTAGAAGTATGGAAGGAACAGGGTCGACTGCGATGGCGACGAGGAAGTAGAATGGTAGACGGCCCTATTACTATGACACGGAGAGGTATTTTCTCCATGTGTGGCCGGCTGGTGGGACACTTCCCCGTGTGTGGATGGCTGTGAGTGGCGACAGGCGTCATCAAGCGTCGAGCCACTGCCGTAATATAAAACTGGGATGACAAAATTTGTGATGCTCCCCTGGAGCGTATGATAACGGACACCTTGCCCGGGCTCAGCAACTGGATCCTGCACAGGGAGAATGGTGCGTGAATCTGAAGGAGCTAGGCGTGTGGGTGGGACGCGAGTTCGCTGGCTGTCGGAGTGGCGTTCGAGGCTAAGGGAGCCATCATCGTGGGCGCATGCTGGCTACGGCCGATAAAAAACACCCAGCATATCAATGTGGCTGAACTGGATGCCGTACTGAAGGGAATCAACCTCGGCGCTAAAATGGCAGGCTATGGTATTACATGTGAACACAGACTCCCTCTGCGTGTACCATTGGGTGACTAATGCCCTTACGGGAAAGTCTCGGCTGAACACCAAGGCCGCTAGCAAGATGCTCATAAGGCAACGACTTGAAACTCTAACGTCTCTTGTGAAAGAGTATAAACTTTCCGTTGACATAGCGCTAGTTAGATCCGACCAGAACCGAGCTGACTTGCTGACTAGAGTTCCCCAGAGGTGGTTCAACAATGTGAAGGAATTCGAACCTGTTCAACCAGTATGTGCTTCTGCTGTAGGAAACCCGAGCCTTGCTCAGTTAACTGAGATTCATCGACACAGCGGGCACCCTGGAGTTAAATGGACACTATATTTCGCACGTAGGATCAACCCGTCCGTGTCGAAAGCAGCAGTAAGATCGGTCGTTCGAAGTTGTGAACAGTGTCAGTCAATAGATCCAGCTTCTGTGCGATGGCAGAAGGGAGAGCTCAGTGTGCGTGAAACTTGGAGTCGTCTGGGAATGGACATTACTCACTATAACGGTTGCCATTTTTGACTCTGATCGATTGCGGCCCCACACGGTTTTCGATCTGGCGACCACTAGTTCGGCAAGACGCTGCACCACGTAATCTGGCAATTGAGTCGGTTTTTTTGAGCGTGGTGCCCGGTAGAAATCCTGGCTGATAATGACACTGCATTCCGCAGTTAGCAATTCAAACAATTCATGGAAGAATGGGGCATCCGATTCCGACCGCTTTCGCGCCGCACAAACCATCTGGAAATGGTATTGTAGAGAGGTGTCATCGGACAATCAAACGGATTGCTGCTTGAAAGAGCTGCTCTATTATAGAGGCCGTGTATTGGTATAACATTACACCCAGAGATGATGTGACTGCCTCTTCTCGCGCCGCCAATCTGCTGCATTTGTACAAAATTCGAATAAAAGGAATTGACATTGTGCCCTCGCCTAACCGGGCGACTTCGACTCGGTATAAAGAAGGAGGCGCAGTTTGGGTAAAAATCCGCACGGACGCTGCACGTCAAAGTTTGTGAAAAGGTCGTGTCACGGGAATAAACAGTCCATGGTCGGTAGTCATCGGCCGGGATACCGCGCTGCGTGGGAGATGTATGTCCACGGCTCACTTCATTGTTACCAATGGATGATGGCGGTGACACAACGTCAGGGGAGTAATGAATGGCAAGAACCAAGCTCCAGTGCAAGCAGCAGCGACACCTCATCTGAAAGTGAGAAAAAGTAGACTTGAACCATAATGATCCCCGAATATGATTCAGACCAGGACACATCTGGCGATTCAGCCGGGAGGAAGTCATGGTTATACCACCGCGAAGAAGTGCAAGGGTGAAGCGACCAGCCCCTCACTGTCACTTATGTGATCATACGATCAGTGGGGAGTGTAATAGGAGTGACAGTGACTTACCAGGAAAAGCCGAATTCGTTGCCTCGGTGTCGAACCATTCTCTGAGAGTTGGTTGCGTGCGCCCTACTGCCATTTTTATGCAACAGACTTATTTGCATAAGAGAACCACGCTACTGATTAAAAACCCGGCGAGTGGACGTGGGAGGCCACTGCTTTTCTAGGCTTCGGCGAGACTAGACAGATTGCAGACAGAAAGCGACAGCAATTTCTGGACATACGACAGTTACCCAGAAAAGATTTTTTCTTCTGGGACTTGATAAGTTACAAAAACAGGGTGGATGAAGGGAGTGATCATTTTCAAAATAGATACATTGAAATTATCTACTTATTTTAAGCAGTGAAACCATCATCATCACATTATAACCATCACAATTACAAATTGATAATAATAATAAAATATTAATTATAATTGACATCAATATAATGAAATAACATAAAGTAAAATAAAGTAATTTAAATAAAAAAGAATTTTTTAATTAAAATTTATAAAAATATGCATAAAAAATATGAAATTAACAATTAAGAGATTAATAAACAACCATTTTAAGTAACTGAAAAACCTAAAATATACAAAGATATATACACACACACATATACATGTACATACATACATACATATATCCATATATAAACACATATATTTTTGATCTATATTTTTATAAATTTTAATTTAAAAAAAATTTTTTTATTTAAATTTATTTATTTTACTTTGTTATTTCATTATATCGATGTTAAATATTATTATTATTATTATTATTATTATTATCAATTTGTAATTGTGATTGTTATGATGGTTTCACTGCTTAAAATGATTAGACAATTTCAATGTATCTATTCTGAATATGATCACTCCCTTTCCCCACCCGTTTTTTTAACTTGTCAAGTTCCGGAAGTAAAAGTCTTTTCTGGTTGACCCTGTCAGCTATGCTTAATTCTTTCCTCGTTCCTTTCTTTCCCACCTCTTTCTCTTTTTCTCTCTCCCCTCCCCAAGTCTGTTTCTCTTTCTCTTTCCTCCCAAAAAAACTTATATTGAAATTTTTGTCTTTCTTCCCCTTTTTTCTTTCTTCCTTTTAATATTAAAACTTTTTTCCTTTTTCTTCTTTCTTCTTTTTTCCTTTTCCTTGTGTCTGAATAAATTAAACTCCATTTATTAATGAAAAACTGGTCTGAAGAGATGGACGGGAGGTCCACAAAATAAATTTATAACCTGACCTGATGGATTTTTAAGGATTCTGTATTCATTATTATATTGCTCTGTTCTTACATAGAGCTCTCTTTGGATTTATCCCTACTAATCATCAATTGATATATATATATATATATATATACATATATATATATATAATGCATCTATTTTCTCTAA